AGTACTTCCCTCACAGCCTGCCTTGGTGTCCTTGTAAGACAGCTCAAGGGTGTAAATTCACTCCTTCCTTCCCCTCTCCTCTTGTGTGAAGAGACCGCACTAAGGTGCCATCTTGGAAGCAGAGAACAGGCCCCAACCAGACTCAGCCTCTACTGGTGCCTTGATCCTGGACATCTCAGCCTCCAGAACAGAGAGAAGTAAATCTCTATTATTTGTAAGTTACTCAAGTTGTCATAGCTGCAAGAACAGACTAGGAAAACAAAGAACTGAAGACATTCTTCAGTCAGTACCCAGCAAGAAACTGAGAAGCCCAGCCCAACTGTCCTTGAACTGAATTCTGCCCTTGACTGTATGAGCATGGCAGTGGCTTCTTGCCCAGTCAGCCTTTCAGATGATACGCTAGGCCCGATTATCACTGAAATGCAGTCTTAAAGAGATGCAGAAGCAGACAGCCCACCCAAGTAATGGCTAAACTCTTGACCCACAGAAACTGTCAGACGATAGACATTTGCTGTTTTTCTGTTTTGTTGTATCTGTGTTGAGACAGAGTCTTATTGAGTAGTCTAGACTGGCTTCAAACTTGTGGCGATCTTGCCTCAGCCCTCTGAGGGCTGAGACTACAGGCATGTGCCACCAGGCCTGGCAGTATGTGTTATTTTAATTCTCTAACTTTGTGCAAACTTGTTACACAGCAATGGATAGCTGGTGCAGATGGGGAAAGGTATACCACCAATGCCAATCAGAAGGGATCTATGTTAGTATCATAGCAGTTCTTTTAATATCAAAGTGGATTTTATACCAAAGCACATTATCAGAAACTAAACACACTGCTTCACAATGACAGAGGCCAGTTCCTCAGGGGAACATAACAATGCCAAACATTTATGTATCTAACAAGAAAGCTTTAAAATATTGGAAGAAAAACCTGATAAAGCCACAAGGGGAATTAAACAAATCCACGATTATAGTCAGAGAGCTTAACATTCTTTTTTGAATAATTTGTGAAATAAGTATGAATAAAATCAGGAAGGACATAGAAGTCTTAAATAACACTACCAGGAATCTTGGTTTAGTTGACTTTTTTTTTTTTTTTTTTTTTTTTTTGTCTTTTTCGTTTTTATCGGTACCGGGGACCGAACTCACGACTGCCTGCTTGCAAGGCAGGTGCTTATGCCGCTGAGCTAAATCCCCAGCCCCTTTTTAAGTGTTTTTTTTTTTTTTTTTTTTTTCTTTGGGTTTAGTTGACTTTTATAGACCACGCTTCTAACAGTTGTAGAACAGACATTCTTTGCTAGTGCATGAGGAATATTGCCCAAGATAGACGATATTTGGGATCATAGTCTCAATAAATTTATGAGGAACAAAATAATAGTAAGTTCTCTACACATAATGATTAAATCAGAAGTGAAGAAAGGTGTCTGAGCTGGGTGGTCCACACTTCTATTCCCACACTGAGAGGTTGACGGGAGGATCCCAAGTTCCAGCCTAGCCTGGGAACTTAGTGACTTACTGAGACCCTGTTTCAAAATAAAAAATAAAAAGGCAAGGGCTCTGGGTGTAATTCTCAGTACTCTGTGCCCACCAAAGATGTCTGAAAAGAAACCCAAAAGGTACAGTATCTGAAGAATCCCCAAATATTTGGAAAATATCAAATAACATACTTTAATATAACCCTGGTTGAAAGAAAAATTAAAAAGTAGAATTCGGCAGTATTTTAAACTGATTGAAAAAAACCTGACAGAGACTACCTGTGGAATTTAGTTACAGTAGTATGGAATTGACCTGCTTAGCACTAAAAACCTATACTCAAAAGTAAGAAAATCCTGAAATCCATAACACTGGCTTTCACTTTAAGAAATAAGAAAAAGGTGAGAAAATGAAACTCAATGTAAACAAAGCAAGGAAAAATAATAGAGGCCACCATGGAAATCAGTGAAATAGAAAACAGAAAAATAATAGAGAAAAATCGTGAAACTGAAAGCAAGGCTGGAGTGTGGAGCCAAGTTCCAATGTCAGGAGCCAGAGAGGTGGCAGCACTGCAGATTCCTCAGCCACTCAACGGATAATAACGATCAACTCCATGGCAATAGATCGGAAAACTTAGCTGGAAGAAATACAGACACGGACTGTGAAGTCTCACTCAGGAAGAAACAATCTTTGTGTCTACTAAAGAAATAGGATCCACCGTTAAAAACCACTCACAAGTTACACCCCACACCCAGGGAGCTTCACTGCTGCACTGTTCCATTTAGGAAAACAGAAGAGAAGGGAACATTGTTCAAATCATTATTGAGGTCAGCATTACTGACACCAAAACCAGAGAAAAGGAAATCACAAGAAAACAACAGACCAGCATATACCACGTGAATAGATAATGAATATAGATATTCAAAAAAATCACAGCCCATCAAACCCAACATTATATAAAAAAGATGCTACTTCGTGACTCAGTGCCATTATCCCAGAATGCAAAGTTAAACATTATCAATCAATTGGTGTAAGTCATTCTATTAAAACACCCCCAAACACATCATGCGATCGTGCCCATATACGTAGAAAAAAGCATTTAAGAGAACTAGATATCCATCCGGAGGACACCTGACAACAAAGTAGGATATAAAGGAGCTCGCTACAGAATCACTGCATCTGATTTCATCCTTATTGGTGAAAGACGCGTCATCAGCAGCCAGGAAAATCACCTGCTCTTCGGACCTCTATTCAGCCTCACACTGGAGGCTGTCGTCAGTGCAGTGAGGCAGGACAGCGCGACAAGGGGCACCCAGGTTGCACAAGAAGTGGGACCGTTTTTATTTTCATGTGCCTTAGTTGCCTTCCTAGAAATCCTAATGCTTTTATGAGAAGCTACTAGAATGATCTGTGAATCAGCCAGGTTGCAGGACACAAGATTAATAAACAGTAATTACCAATGTTATGCAGTCCATACACAGAACCAGAAATTGAAATTGAAACAATACTGTTCCCAATGACATAAACATAAAATCATTAGAGATAAATCTTACAAAATATGTGTAAACTCTGGGCACCAAAAAATTATATAAAATAACTGAGGGAAATGAAAGAGGTCCTAAATACTTGGATGAGTATAAAATATTCATGGATTGGAAATCTCAGTTTTGTTTTTTTTTGAGACAGGGTCTTACTATATAGGCTGGCCTCAAACTTCTGGCGATACTCCTGCCTCAGCAATAATCTCAATTGCTGAAATTATGGGTGTGCAACCACCAGACCTGGCTCAAGTCTCAGCATTTTTACAGTGTCAGTTCACCTCAAATTGATCTATAAATTCATGGCAACTCCCATCAATATGCAGTAGGCTGTTTCATAGAAACCGGCCAACTGCATCTGAAGTACATACGGAAAAGCACATGAGCTAGGAAATAACAGTGTCAGGGGCTTACAAGGCCTGATCTCAAGATTTTGCATCAAGACGCTGTGTCACGGAGGTGTCTGAAGAGAAACGCACCTAGGGCGCGGCTTGTCCGTGGTGTCCTGTGCACATCCCCACAGGCCACGGTTCCAGATGGGAACCCTAGATCTGTGTCCTCCCAGAGACAGGCGCTGCCTGGAAGCCACTGCCCCCAGGCCTGCTTGTGTCCCGAGGAGGCTGCAGGTGATTGTTTCCGGTCATCTCCGGGGTTCTTAGGGACCGAGGGGCTTCCGGCCTCCTCGCCTCAGAACACAGGTACTGGCTATGAACTGTGCAGCGCAGCCCAGATCCAGCTGTGGGGCAGCGGGGAAAGCGGCCTCCCAGCTGTCCTGTTTGGCGCCAACCTTGGTGTGCGGTGCAGGGACGGAGAGGGCTGGGCCTCTGGCTGCTCTTTTCAATGTTTAGGTAAGAAAGTGGCTCCCTCTGTCTCTATCAGCTGAATTAACAAGACCTCGGTCTGTCTTATGTGTACTTGACACTAGAGCAGAAATGAACCCACATGCATGTTATAGATACATATAACATGAAGAGTAAACCCTGGGCCTGTGCGTTGCCAGCCCTTTTAAAAATTTCCTAAAATTTTGAGACAGCTCACTAAGTTGCTCAGAGTGGATTGAGACTCCTGCTTCAGCCTTCCAAAGTCAAATGATTTTTGATAAAAGTGCAAAGGCAACTGTGTGATGAGAGGAAGGGATTTTTGACAAACACTTCTGGAATAGCTGTAATCCATGTGCTACAGCAACAGGAACACCAAAAACCCAAATGCTCCAATCTGGATCCTACACCATATCACAGAAAGTGACTAATTATGGGCCATAGAATTCAGTTTGGAACATCTCAGTCCTAGTAGATGAGGACCAGCCATGGCCTTGTGACAGCAAAGAGGAGCAGACAGACCTAGGGTTGCAGAGCTCAGCTTTCTGGAGGACTTCACTGATACCAGTTGGGTCCTTAGGATTTGGGTCAGGAAGGAGCGGACCTGGACACACAGTAGACCTGGACCCGGGGAAGCCACTGACCCAGACCCCAAGGGATACAGCCAACCTGGACCTGCAAGACACACAGCAGACTCAGATCCTGAGGACCCGCCAACCCAGATCCCAAGGGACACAGCCAACCCGGACCTAGGGGACACACAGCAGACCCAACCCCGACCCTGGGCCAGCGTGGCGCGCATGGCTCAGCTTCCAGCGGCCCCGAGGCCCCCGCCTGAGGAGCTAACCATTTATGTCACACTGCGACAATTATTCTGCATAAAATTATCATTTAAAACCCTAATTTTTCAGCCCGCAACCCTGCCAGCGGCCTTTTAGCACTCTCCGGCGCGCGGCCGCGGGGGATCGCGCTCATTACCCGGCGTGGCGCCCCGCGCGCAATCAGCGCTGCTCCCCGCGGGCCTGGCCGGGGCGGGGCGGAGAGGACGGGGTCGACTCCGGGCGCGCTGGGTCCGGGGTCAGAGTCCCCCGTCCGCACCCTACACCACCCCGCCCCCACCCCACCTCCATCCCCATTTCCTGCCCCGCGCCCCCGCGGGCCCCCATCCCCGCCTTACCCAAATGAGGCCGGTGTGCGGCACAAGTGCAGGGGCGCCAGGCCCTCGGCGCTGAGCAGGTCCGGGTCGGCGTGGTGCTGCAGCAGCAGGCGGGCGCAGGCCGTGTGGCTCCCCAGGCAGGCCTCGTGTAGGGCGGCGCGGCCCCCTGGGCTGGCATCGGGGTGCGCGCCGCGGCCCAGCAGGTGTCGCACGCAGGCCGTGTGGCCATGGGCCGCAGCGAGGCGCAGGGGCGAGGTGAGCTCGCGCTTGTACTCCAGGGTCCAGAGGCCTGAGAGGCGAGGCCGAGGTGTCAGGTGAGGGGAGCAGGCGGGGGACCCTCGAAACTCATGGAGGGTGACACTGTCCTCTCAGAGGGGGGACCAGGTGGGCACGCAAGGGAACACACCTGAGAGCAGAGTCAGCAGAGGGGAGGCAGAGATGGAGCCAGCGGGAGAGGAGAAAATAGGAGCGCTGGGAAGGGGGTGTCGGACAGAGACATGGGGTGAGGGCGTTGAGACGCAAGGGGTTTTGCCAAATGTGGGGTGACTGTGAGGGGGATGGGATTGAAGGCGTTATTAGCTGAAAGAGCCTCATGGATAGCAGGGTGAATCTAAGGGCAGAATCCAACCCTTCCTAAGGTTGGGATTAGGGGTAGCTTGGGGGGGAGGCAGGTTTACCATTCATCATTAAAAGAGACAAACGGACAAACCCAACCGGGCCACCGCACCAAGGATGCTCAAGAAAAGGGCTCTGAGGAAGCTTAGCCCCTTGGGAGTGGCTGGGGTTCAGAAGGCTGCTTTGATCAGACCCTCATTCAGCGCCATCCTGCTTGGGGTCTTTGCACTTCTTAAGGGTGTGTGCGGCGCATGGAGGGCTGCTCTTTCTTGAGGGATGAATGGCGCGGGCGCTCTACATTTCACTTCTCTGAAAAGTTTGGTGCTTTCAAGAGGCCCGTGGAAGGTTGTTAGCGGGCAGAGGCCCCCGTGGAAGTGGGGGGAGGTGGTCCGGAGAGCACACATCAAGGGGCAGGAGGCAGGCAGCCGGGCCTCCTGATAATGATGGCAGGATCGATACCGCAGCTGTAACGAGCTGCGGAGGAGACCCTTTCTGCAGGCCACCTCCTTCCCAGGACCCATGCTGAGTGGGTTTGAAAGACCACTCATTAATTACCAACCTGTGTGTGGTGCAGAATCCCCAGCCTGCCCCTGTCCCAGAGGCCCAGCCTGCTGTCCACTTGGTGGAGGAGATGGGGTCTCTGTCCCTGGTGTAGAGTCCTGGTGGCCACAGGCCCTGGGCATAGGGCCCTGCATGGGTTTGGGCTGCCTTTCCTGGTAAAGGTGTCCTTATGCATGATGGTAACCTACATTCCTGCAAGGCCAACTCTGGGCTCTTCCATTCTATTTCCTCTCTTGAGAAATGAGGCCAATTTACTTCCTTCTCCAAAGCCTGCTAAGTTCCCAATGCCACTCGTCCTCTGCCAGCAGCCATGCTCGCCTACAATGGATTTCTGAGTCTCCTGCAGACCATCAGAAGGGCTGGATGGACGTCTGGTTCACAGCATAAGGCCAGCCACTGTCTGCAGATCCTGGTACGTACCCACAGACCAACCAGGTTTTGGAGGCAGTTCTGTCAGAGGCCCTGAGTCAGCTGCCCATGAGCCCCACCTTGGTCCCAGTTCTGGCATCAGGAGGAGTTTGGCTTGTGGTTTCTCTTCTATGGGATGCCTCCTCCTACGTACTGGGGACTGTGAGCCAGATGAGCCAGCACTCAGCCATGGCGATGACAGGGGCTGGCCAGCCATCGAGGACCAGCTGGGAGCATTCAGAGCACTCCCTGTGCACGCTCCCGACTAGTCAGTGTGAAGCCAGTCACCAGGAAGTCTTCATGCAGGAGAGGGCAGAGGAGGTGGGGCTGCTGCTCATACTCAGGGGCTGTTGCTACTGCATGGAAGGCAGGCAGCCCAGAGTCCAGGCAGCCCTGGGCATCCCACTTCCCAATCCACAGCAAGCCTGGGGCCAGTGCGTCTGCACTGGACTGCTGCTTCTGCACCTCTCAGCTCTCGGCACACCCTGACTTCCTGTCCTGCTGTTGGAGGAGAAGCAGGCGTAAGGGTGGGAAGGTTGCTGAGGACTGAGGACACAGACTTCAGATTTGGACAACATGTGGAAGACGGGTTAGAACTGCTGTGTATTTGAAGTTACGACACTGGATTGTGTGTGGGCAGGGCTGGTGGTGTGTGATTGAGAAGGAGCTGCAGTTGAGTGTTTCCACAGTGGGCCTTCTTGTCCAGGGAAGGGGAAGGAGAGTGAGCCCGGAAGGGCTTGCCTGGGAGGCTCTGCCTCCCCCATGGGCAACGACACCAGCCTTGAAGTGCCCCTGCCACTTCAGAGCGTGGCAGAGCTTCTCAGCCTATGCTCAGGGATTTTGGGTGTGACCCCCTCCCCAGGGGAGGTATAAACAGAACTGTGTTCTCTGGACATCACCCTTCCACGGTTCTCGGCTACTAGGACTCATAGATCAGGGACATGAGATGCTGGTGGCAGAGTCTCAAATTCCTACTATCTGACAGAGCTGAGGTGGCTTCCAGTGCATCAACCCTGGTGAGTGGGGTGCTCGGTGCAGGCTGCCAGCCCAAAGTGTTGTGTTGCAGCTGGTTGGGCAGAAGGACCTGCACATTCTGGGATTGAGTGGAGGAGGCACCTCTCCACAGGGATCTGCTTGTCTGCCTCGAAAGAGTGACCTTCTGGCTTCCAGGAGGAGATTCTGTTTGGGGATCTGGGCTCCTCTCTCTGTGGATGCAGGCAGTGCCCTCATCATCCCCAGAGCTGTGGCATCACAGGAGGATCTCGCACGGAGCTGGTGTAGGGCCTGACTGTGCGCTTCCGGCTCGGGCCTCCTGGCTGCCAAGTGCAGATGCTGGCAGATCAGTACCCTGCACAAGGCTCCTCTTTCGAGGCAGGAGGTGTGCTCAGCGTCATCGGAGGCCACTTCTTACCCATCACTTTGCCTTTCCAATTGCATCACTCACAGCCCATCACCAGAAATCCACACCTCGAAACCCATGATGGTCAAATTTCATTTACAGCAGATTTCAGTAAATTTCAGTAATGAATTTCAGTAAATTTCATTACAGTAAATTTCATTTACATCCTTTCCTTACAGACGTTCTTTGAACGCACTGCGAACAACCCCAAGCCACATGCGGGACCCCTAGAAGCTCCCTGTAAAGTGCACAACCGAGCTTTAAAGGAGTGATGGTACCTGACAGCCCAAACGTGGCCGGGGACTTCACCTGCCACTCCATCTCTTCCTTACTGATCTCAAACACCACGTTGGCATCCTGGAAGAACTGGTCCATGAGGGGCTGGATGCGGCCCAGGTCTCCTTCGATCAGTGCAGTGTGGTACTCAAGCTCGGGGGTCCCTGTTTGCAACTGAGGCTCCTTCTCCATCTTCTGAAAGATTTGAAGCTTTCCTCTGACCACCTCTGGCCGTCTATCCATTGCAAAGCAACTGATTTCCAAACGGTTCTTCAGGAGGGGGAAGATGGTCTTTGGGAGCGGGAGCTATTTCTATTTCATGACTCAATTGTTCTTCGATCGGAGCCCAGCGGTGGTGTATTTATAACTCCTGTGGGCTCTGATGTGATAATGGTCACTTGATATGACTAGAGCCATGTGATCACAAGATGCCACAGCATTCAGCCACCTCTGTGATTATATAGCTAACTTCTGAGAAAGACAATGTGTTGATCTCGACCCTCCTGTCCACGCTGGTGGCAGACACCCAGCACCCACTCTTTTATCTGCTGTTGGGATGACTCTCAGCACTGAATGTAGCTGTCTGTGTGGATTAAGACACTAACTTGCAAACATGATTTCTGTAACCAAAAACACAGGGAAAATAAGTGATGTCCTGTTAGGGTTAAGGCAATGGGCTGAACTCAGGATTTTGGGGAGGGAAGTCTTAAGTTTAGAAACAAGAAGCAAACCTTTAGAATGTTCAGCCTTGCTGTTTATGTATTATAAGATTTCCTCCTAAACGTGTGCTTGAGGAGGAGTGGCGTGGCCTGGGCCGCTTTGCAGTCAGTGGCTGAGCTCTCATTTAAGCCTCTGCCTTGGAATCCATCCTCCATCTGTCATCCCTTGCTGCCTGGACACCAGAGATGCCCAGTGGGACCTTGTGAGACGTGGGACACCAGCGTCTGTGGCCTCTTTCCAGAGAGGGCTGTCTGCTGTTCAGAATCTAGTTTCTCCCCTAAGGAAGGAGATCCTGGACAGTGTCACTCACTCTTAGGAGGCCAGAGCTAAAAAGGGACCTGCTGTCCCCTGCTGTCCCCTGCTGTCTCCAGGTCCTCTGCATGTGTGTGTGTGTGTCTGGGGGGGTGTTGGGAGCTAAGAAATATTTCTACAATGATGCATTCTTGAAGGAAGTCAACAGAGAGGAATATTTCATGACACTTGCAAATGATAGGAATTCAAATATCAGTGGCCATAAATAAAGTATACTGCTTATTGATTTGCCTACTGTCTGTTGGTGCTTTCCAGTTTTTCATGGCAGGGTTGAGTGGTTTCAACAGTAACCATGGAGTCCACCATATTGGAAATGTTTATTATCGAGCTCTTTGTAGGCAAACTTGAGCCTTGGTTGAGAAGTTAGGAGACTTGATCATGTAGTTGCAGCAAATTCTTATCCATTATTTTTATTAACCAAGCCTTACTACTTAAAATAGGCAAGGCTTCTTGTTCTGGTTCTGAAGAGTAGCTTCTTGCTTTCTGTTCCATCGCTTTCTCTGTCACAGCAGCCTCTAGGAGTAGATGTGTGCTCTAGAGTCTGAGGAGGGTGCCCAGCTGTGGCTGTGAGGGCTGGGCTCTGCACGAGTGCCCTCAATTTGGAAGCCCTGTGGAGCAGACCTGGGGCCCCCAGAGGCATCATCAGAGACCGTGGTGGGTTGGGAGTTTACTCTCATGGGTAAGAACTGACCCCCAAATAGCTATCCTTTGCTCAAAACAAGAAATGCAGCAATTTTTAAAAAAGCAGCAATTTTTTTTTTTAATTTGTAACTTACTGCACGTTGAATATCTGTAATTGAGAAATCTGGAAACTTGAAATGCTCCAAAATCTGAAAGTATTAGAGTTCACAATGTTTAGATTTTGGAGCTTTTAAGACTTAAGATTTTTGGATTAGAGATGTTCAACCAGTAAAGTCTACTCAATTCTGTAATCTGAAACACTTCAGTCCTTGAACATTTTGGATAAAGGATGCTCAACTTCTGGTTATTTACTGCACTTTAGTTCAGGGATTTATTTTATTATATGAAAATTCAACTCTTTTTTTCCTTTTAAGCAGTAATATATATTACACAGACACAGCCAGCCAGTCAGATACTTGCAGACACACAGACACACTTCTCAGTTCTTGTCCATCCCTCACCAGGATGCTGGTATGGCCATTGCTACAGGCACCTTTGCTCCATCCACTTGAGCTATAGTGCATGAATAAGACACTAGAGGAGAGGGCAGAGGTTGCAGGACTCCTGTTAGAGGATAGTGGGTAGAAGAGCTGAGCACACAGTCAGGAGACGGGAGCCCCGACCTTCTGCTGGGCAGGTGTGAGAGCTGCCAACCTCTGGCCACTAGCTCCAGACTAGGGTCATGCAGGAGCTCGAGTCTGCATGGTGCTGCAACCCCACAGACAGCTTGGAAGTCCTAGGAAGAGTCTGAAGGCAGGCAGTGGGGTTCGCAGGCAGCACAGTGCCTCCGTGGTCACAGCTGGACTTCTTGGTGTCCTCTTAGCTGTCGTCCTGTGATCTCATTGTGCCCTGCACACCATAGTGGGCAGGGGGTGGGGTGGAGGGGCAGGGTACCTACCAGGAATCGAACTCAGAACTTTGCACTTGCCAGGCAGGAGCTCATACCACTAAGCTATCTTCTGCTCTGCTGTACTTCTGAGAGCAGCCCCACTTCTGGATACCCTTTGCCCCTATGTTTTCTGTAACAAAGGGGAGCCCGGCAGAGGAGGACTTCGATGCCTCCTCCAAGCAGCATGGGACAGGGCAGAGCAGGAGTCACAGGCATTCATAGTTTCATACAGATGTGGGTTTATTTTCCCTTGCCATGGCCCAGAATGACAGGCCTCAGTGGTGTCACCAAGGCCTGCTGATTTCCCTGAGTGTACAGGCCCATCCCTGCTCTGTCCTGGTGGGTAGATAAGGGGTTCTGGGTGGGCCATAAAACCAGAGGGCTCCCAGGGGTAAAGGGTGGCTCTGGGTGGGTCGGGGCCACTCGGTCATGAGTCGTAGTAGTTTTCCATTTCAATGGCAACGTTCAGCCTTTTGGCCGTTTCATTTCTCCAAGCCCAGCCATTGTACCATTTTTCTCAGGGATTCTTTGTAATTAGATACATTTCTGGAAGACTCATTTGAGCGTGACTACAATGGGATACAAGTGGAGTTTGCCTTATCCCTAGACTGGAGGTTAATTTTGAGGTTGATAGAATTTGTCATCGGGTATTTTTAAAAGGGGTGGGACTCTGGCGGTGAGTCCAGGGAGAGAAGCTGTCTGCAGCTAAATTTAGCTTCCCACGTGTTTTTGTCAACAGGCCCTAAATATCCAAGTCCGGCTCCGGTAGGTAGGGAGAAGTGGTCAAGAGCAGGCTTGGTTCTTTGTGAGACCTTTAAAAATAGCTCTCAGTGGACAGACGGCATTGCCTTTGTAAATAGGGCAGGTAGACGACTTTACAGGCACGGAGAGAGCTCTTTCATTTTTCTTTCTTTTTTAAACGACAGTAGACACATTACTATCACATTAAACACCTCCGAAGATCAACACATCCATTCACTTAGTCTCCTACACACATGATGTGATCTTTATTGTGTTTTAGGATGTGCTGTAAGATTCTGGAGATTCAGAGACAGAAACTATACTCCCCCTGTCTGTAAGGATCACATCAGGCCTGGGAAAGATTTCTAACTGGATTAGGGAAAAGATGGTTTGGGAATATTTAGACAAAGACTAAGACCTCTTGGAGCTCAGGCGGTCCTTAGGGATAAGTCAAGGTGGACGAGAGGAATTTTCTCTTGTGATACAGTTATTCCTTAGGTGGTGAGCACATAGGCAACATGATCTACATTTCACCATGCAGTAGAAAGAGTTACGAAAACTTTTTGGAGAAGATGGAAAAACTGTGTTTCTTTCTTTAGCAAAATGTGGTTCAATAACCCAAACCGGATACTAACTTCATGCCTCTAGTCCAGCAGGAGCCTGGATTCATGGAAGATAATTCTTCCACTGACCTGGGACATGGCTGGGGTTGGCTCTGAGCTTAAGTCTCATAAGGAGAGTGTAACCTAGATCCTTGGTAGGCACAGCTGCTAGGAGGGTTCATGCTCCTGGGGGAATCTTGCAGTCTGACAGGAGGCCAAGGCTGATGGTAATGTAAGAAGTGGGGAGCGGCTGTCAGTCCAGAGGAAGCTTCATTTGACAGCCAGCTGCTCACCTCCTGCTGTGTGGCCCTGTTCTGGTACCAGTTTCTGGGGTGTGGGGACTGGGGGCCCTACCCTTCAACAGCTGTTCATACCTTGGCTGCAAAATGGAATCATCTGAGAGCTTTTCACGTACTGATCCTCCACCCCAACCTGAGAGAGTCTGATTGGAAAGTTCTTCTCAAGCCAGAGTGGTAGGCTGATTTAATCGATGTCCAAGCTGAAGTTAAAACACTCCAGGCACATAGGACTCTGATTTCTTGCGATCATGCCACTGTGGGTTCTCTGGTTTTTGGCCTGGGAGGTTTCTGTTTCTCGTTGGTTGCTCCAGGTGAGTGGGTTCTTGTACACAAACTTAAGTGTCACAGATCAGCAAATTATGTGAGGTTGTTTTTAGATGTTCGAAGCATGTGTGTGAGGTAAGAGTAATTTGCCATAAAATCCCTTTACTCACTGGGACTCTTAGCTTGGTAAAAGCCAACATCCTCCATAGAGTCCCTGAGGCACCTGTGTCTTTTTATTTTTATTTTTTATTTTAAAGAGAAAAAAGAAAAAAAACCCCAGAAAATCAAGAAGCAAACAAACTACCTAAAGCAAAACAACAGCAACAACAACAACAACAAAAAACAACAATAGCTATATAGGTTTTCAAAACAAGATGGCAGTGGATGATAGGAACAGCTATTTTGGAGAAAATGACATCTTAATAGGTAATACTGATTTAGTATCATCTTGTTTTGAAGTCTCATCTAGCTTTTGTTCTTCTGTCTCCAGTGGTCTAAATAGGTTGTATCTTATTGGATTTTATTATGTACGATAGTATAAGCAAAAACCTTTTAAAGACAAGGAGATTATACAGAAACCATTGTTCATTTTCTGTTAGTCGATTCTAAATACTCTGTAATGCTGTCATTCTCTTAAATGGTTTTACATTGTTTTGATATACTTAATGCTACAGTATACGAAGTTGTACTCAAGAACTTCAAGGAAAGAGTCAATATGGTAACTACTTTTGGGTCGGAATTATCTGGTGGTGAAACACTATTCTGCTTAAATGGTTATGTTTTGATCTGCACTGTTTTGCTGTTATGCCCTCTTTTATCCCAATCTCCACTCCATTATTTACTTTTTTATTTTTATCCGTTTAATTAAAGGGAAAAAATAGCAGGATATATTATAGTAACCCACTTTGACTTTCTATTATCTCGATTTGAAACCCTGTATTACTCTCACCATCTTGTTTTTGACTGATGTTCCCCTATTCTGTTTTGCTGGATAGTATCAGGTTCAAAAGTTTAGGCATCAGCTGTGAAGATAATGAGATTCATTATAACGCCCATTCTCGTTGACTTTTATCTACTTTTGAAGACCTACAATGTCTCCAATGGTTTGGTTTTGTCGGTTTTGTTCTTTACTGTTTTGTTCAATTGTATTATAACTAATGATATAGGCAATTCTATTAGAGATAGCGGGAGGCATTATGGTAACCACTGTTGACCAACTTGTATTATGTTTTTATATTATCTATTATGTCCACCCTTTTGACTTGACCGATTCTGTTCTGTTATGTCACATTTGGTTTTACTCTCTTCCAAAAAAGCAATAAGAACCGTGGGAGCAATGGAAAAAAAAAAACAAAACAAAACAAGATGGCAGGTATTTAACAATGATCGTGATACTGCGTATTGTTATCTTCAAGATAGGTGCTCAGCGGAGAACCAGCCTTCCTGAAATCCGGCCATGGTGGGACTCAGGCAGCTTATTCACCTGCCCTCTTGGTAAGAGCCTGTGGCGATGGCCAGGAGAAGAACCAGAACTCCTGAGATCCGGCCATGGTGGGACTCAGGCAGCTTATTCACTCACCCTTTTGGTAAGCGCCACAGTGAGAGCCAGGAGGAAAACCAGAATTCCTGAGATCGGGGCATGGTGAGATCAGGCAGCTTATTCATCCACCCTTTTGGTAAGCGCCTGTGGTGTGGCCCAGGAGGAGAACCAGAGCTCCTAAAATCCAGCCATGGTGGGACTCAAGCAGCT